GGCACGCGAGGGCGAGCCACCAAGCAGGTAGAGAAGCGTGTACTAAGGAGTAAGAGCGGTACAGAGAAGAACAGAGCCACTAAAGAGTCTATAGAGAATGAGAAAACCGTAGTGACTAGAGTCACGAGGAAGAGGAAGTATGAGGAGTTGACTAAGCCCGTGTTGAGGGAGAAGGGGCAGAACGGGAGAGCTTCTAGCAAGCCGAGCACTGAGCCCGTCGTGGAGGACAGGAAGGTGCTGCGCGCCCGCAAGGCCAAGCCGGCGCCAGCGGCCGCGGCCGAGGCCGAGCCCGAGGCCGGGTCGGTGCGCATGACGCGGTCGCGGCGGCGGCGCCTGGAGGTGTCGCTGTCGCCGTCGGAGGTGCCGGCGCTGGCGGCGTCCTTCGACTCGGCGCGCGTCACGTCGGTGGAGAGCTCCAAGTCCCACACCAAAGCCAAACGCGCTCCCCCCGCCAAAGCTAAAGCTAAACCTAAACCCAGCAAAACCAAGCGCGGCCGAGGACGGCCCGGCCGCAGGTGAAGTCGTTCCTCCCTCTCCCCCCATATATCGTATAGACAATTCATAGACTGTTGCGCCTCGAGGCAACTACCCTAGTTATATAAACCCCCCATGCGGCGTCAGCTAACCTCAAATTCCAAATGAGACAGAATAGTGATGCAATAAAATTACGGACGCTTTGCTCACGCGTAGACGTTACACGACAGAGGAAAGAATTATTTATTCGACGAGAACGAAAAGAGTAAGTTATATTTCTTTTTAAAAATGTAGAAAACCTCTGTAAACTAGTTCTTTCAATAATAATGTTAGACCTGTTTTTATTTTTTATTATCCTTTTATTTAAAACGTTACTATTAATTTTTAAGATACTTTTTTCCCTTATTATTACCATTAGAATTAATTCTTTGAAGTTGGTCATTATGTATTTTTGATTAGAATAATGAAAAAAATAATTAATTAAAAAAACATAGGTAAATTGGTGTGATTGAGCACTGTTCTGTAGTTGAATAAAATTATTTTGTGAGTTATTATAATTTATTATTTATAGTGCTACAATACCTTGCTTCATTGTTGTGATTTGTCCTCGTGGGCGACCGCTCGAGCTCGCTCGCGCGGTCACGTCTGTAGAGTCACTAAATTCCCACAAGTTTGAATATAAACATTTCTAAATCGTTCACAGATCTCTTTCAGTAAACTTATATAAATGACTTACTTTGTTTGTGTGTGTATATTTGTTTGAATAGGATAATAGGTTAAATTTGTAAATGTTCCCTTCGATATAATAGGCGTTTGTATTACAATATGTACTTCATTCTTCCACTTTGCAAAAATGTAAAAAAAAAACGAATATATATATTTATTTATGGTGAAAGTGCCAAAGCATGCTTGATGATCCCGCTTATATATTACGCGTTCGAAATTATTTGTAATTGTTTATAAAAATCACGATTTAAAACTTCCTAAATTGTGTAGGGGTTGTTTATAAAAACTTAAGAAAACTAAAAAAAATGTATCTTGTCTTTCAGTGTGGTATTTATATCTTTTTTAACCTTTTAATGTTTTCGTTTCGTCGCATTATCTGAACGAAATTATTTATTTCTTCGGTATAAATGCTAACACTCGAATCTTAAATTTCTCAAATGTATTAATTTATTACAAAAAAAGACATCTCAAAATTTAAACAACCCGTAAACAATTCGTAATGTAATTCTTTTCTCGTTTTAAGCGCTTTTACCAAATAAAAACGTATATTGTGTTTGTCCCCTTCCCTGTAAATACTATGATAGCATTTAGTACAAATTCGGTGGAAGAGTTTAAAAAAATAATTATTTATAATTAAATTTGAAGGAAGGGAAAAGTCTCATTGTCAAATTTACACGTTACTCTCTTGTCTCGTGATACGAAAAGGCACTGAAGTTGATAAATATAAATATTAGCTGGTTAAGCTTGACTGTATGTTTTAACTTTCAAAATTTTAGTTAAACAAATTGTAAATGAATTGTTGCATGCTCTGTTACACTTTAATGAAAGTTGTTGAAAATTAAGTGCGCCAAATTCAGTTTCATGACTGATTATAGAGAGAATATGTAATGTTATAATCTATGTAATACGTTCTCGGCTGTTCGTCAAAATTCTATGGATTCCAAAAGGAAACGAGATCGAGCAAACTGCTCTCTCTTTCACCCAATAACTTCGGTTAAACTCGCTTGTGACGGAGATGCCCGAAGGTCTAGCGAAAATTGCCGTTAAGTTTGAAAATTATTTGCATGTAATATTGACGAAATAGATATTTTAAAGTAGTATATATCAGCAGATTTTGTTATATATATATATTAGCTCAAATATATATTACGAATACCCAACTAGATTTTATAGCTTATACAAATGTTTTATGTGAGTAAAGTACTTTCATAGTTGTATATGAATATTGTTCAATGGGTTGCTACGTCCATCGTAAGATATGTTCAGTCCAATACCTTCTAGTATTAGTATTATTTGTATCGTACAACATGCATGAAAGTGTTTTACTCAACACATATATTGTTGCTATTTACAATCAATTATGAGCAATCCAATGTATTAGAGTACGCGATGGTAGGACCACAATAACTAAGACCTTATTTGATGCAGTCGTTACATTTAAAAGTTAATTTGAACAAAGATTATAGAACCGTAGTGCCGACGCGTATTGCGATGATTACTTTTGTTTTAGGAAATTAAAAATTTCCCCGAATGCTTAACTCGAGTAGCCTTTACGTCACATACGACGTAAAGATTGTAAAAGAAAAGTGCACTTAAAAATATAAAAGGATGTACCAAAAGATATATAATTTTATAATAAAGTGTTAGGTGTTAAAAGATGTCGGCGTAAAACAAATTTTGTAAGATGTTACATGGTAGCCGGCTAAAGAATGGATTGTAAGAAATATACCATTTTAACATTATTTGCTTTGTTTTATTGTTTACTATCTTACTCTACATACCTTACACTATATTTATGGATAGCTTTCATGGCCATATAATTCATATTTGCAGCCTTTGACGGTCCATTGCTGGAGTACCGTAAAACGGGGTACGAATAGAATTCGAGGGTCGAATAAATATTGAAACAATGTTCTAATATTTATTCACCCCATTCCTGTATCTATTCACCCCTTGAATTCTATTCACTAGGTTTACCGTATGGGCTTCGTCTACCTAATTGGATTTTCCATGACTCCATCCTCCCTCCTTTCTCCCTCTTGACATATGGGTTGAAAATCGCACTTTAAAAGGTTCAGACATACAAAATTACAAACAGTATTAGTGTATTCCGTTTTGCCGTGACCTCACTGTCCTTAGTTGTGTAGTGATGTTGCTGTTTGCCTATCGCGCAACTTGTCGCGGGTTGAACTCCCATGAACCAATTTATGACAATCCACAATTTGTTGGAGTTTGACCATAGTTTATAGTACTCTTTGAGTTTGACTCAAAACAACTCTAACAGTTGATTGATGCATAGGTCGTCGATTCGATCATGATTGTACCGGAATGTTATAATTAAAGTAATATAGCAAGTGCCTACCAATCAGCAGTTGAGTAGGCCACTTCAAATTACTTTAGAAAAATAATTAAATGTGTACTAGGCGACACATGTAATTGGTGGGTTTGAGATTTCTTTAAAAGTGGCATTTGCCCCTAATGATGTGTCTAAACATTGAGCCATTGAGCAGCTAGAGTCTGGCAGTAGCAAATAATCGTGTATTCTCATGCAATGAAATTAGCAATGAGTTCTATGGATCTAATATTACTACTTATTAGGCTAAGGAAGTATAATGCCATAATAATGGGATATAAACCGTGTAAATGAGCGTCCTCTGTAGTATTAATTACGGAGTTAGTATAATGGTAGTTAAAATGGAGTAGGCCGAAAACTGCCGGCTAAGTCGGGAATCGAATCTATGTCCGTCGCTGGACTAATCACTGGTTAGTTCGGACAAATCGATCAACACAGCTATAAGTTCTTTTTATATTGATTGCAAAAAAGGGTAGTGTAAATTTGATCAAAATGCGTTAGGTGCGTAAAATATATATTTTGACTCAGTTTTTAAATTGACTACAAAAATTAAATTAAATTAAATTTTCCTAATGGCTTGGTACGCAACGATGGCAAGAGACCCGACGGTATGTCATTATTCCCTTGGAAGATGGGTAGGCCTTTAGTATGGGACGCCACTTGCGTTGATACTCTGGCGCCATCCCATCTTCCAAACTCAGCGTGTCTAGCCGGTGCTGCCGCTGCTGCTGCCGAGAACCTCAAACGGCGAAAGTATGATAGCCTGATTGGCAATTATGCTTTCGCCCAAGTGCACATCTTCTTTACAAAGATATTGTAAAGAGGATGGTTGACACTTCAGGTGATCGAAGGGCTGGCTTTTACCTTGGACAAAGGTTAAGCATTGCCATTCAACGTGGTAATGCTGCCAGTCTTTTGGGCACCCTACCTCACGATAATGATGAGGAAAATTTTTTTTTTGATGCCTTATTATAGCTTATTTATTTATTATTACCTTTTTTTTAAGGTGTAAATATTTTAGTTCATAGTTATTTATATTTTAAGTTGTATATATTTTCATTAAGTTATAGTTAATATTAATTGTATATATAATTTCTTGAAATAAAATATTTATTACATTAAAAAAACAAAAATTAAATAACATTACCTATGGTTTACCACAAACAATGCAAGTAATGACAGCAAATTAGAGAGTGACCAAGAGAGAAATAAAAGGAAATATGGTAGAAACTACTCAACATCATTAATGTAACTTTTATTGCTAATATTTCATAAACAATGACTTCAAATTTAATAAACTATTAAGAAATTTCTTATCGGGATGTCTTTGTTCTGTACTAGGAAGTGGGGATTTATTTCTAAGTAAAAATTACCAATTTTGGTAGACTTCCAAACCTTATTGGAAGCAATTTAAACCTCCGCCTGGCAACACAAAGAATGGCACTGTGGCAAACGTCAGACGATGTCGAGTGATAGAAAAATAATTAATTTCTCGACGTTTTGTGTTAATAATTATGTGAATGATGAGATGAAAGTGTAGATAAATGTTATTTTAGTGTTCAATAGTGATTATGGCGCATAGTGGTGGTGTTTTGAGTTCGGATATATCTCGGAGGAACCCACAAGATGAGTATGAACTCATTCAGAGAATCGGTTCGGGAACCTACGGTGATGTATACAAGGTAGGGGGCCTTTCTAAAATACTTTAATCTCTAATTTACGCGTATTTAAGACGATATCGACGCTGGTTTGACACTTTCTCGGGCGTTTCTCGGTTAAAAACATCAATTAAAATCTCGTTTGTGATAGAAAATATTTTTATCGAATTTTTTTTTATAATCGTCTGGAATTTATTCTTAAACGATGATATGGTGCTGCATATTGTTTATTGGTTGATGTTAATGATAAAAAACACGTGCTACCAATGACCTTGAGTGCAGGACGAGTCTGGTTTACTAATTAGTGTTGAACACACCCAGAGGTGTTGTGATATTCAAAACACATCACATCTCTTTGTTCTCTTACTGTTCTTAATTTAAAATCACTGTGAATGTGGCCAGTTATTATACCCACTGCTGTTATTACTCAATTAAAACTAAAGATTTATGTTCTGTGGTCATTATTTTTTTCCTGCTCATTTATTTTAGTAACCTACATAATTATTTATTATAATATAATATTTGATTTTAACAATCATCAATCATTAATTTAATTGACTCATATTACATTAGTTTATACCATACCTTAAAAATTAAACATGATATAAAAATAAATCCATTAAACTACTCTTCATTAATTTAATTACATCATAACTTCGAAGAGTCTATATTTAGTAATCCTAAAGTCAACTTCTTGCATTACTTTCAAATACTTGAGTTTAATTTCTGGAAATTTATACAACTTAAAATATAAATAACTATGAACTAAAATATTTACACCTTATAAAAAAGCTATAATAAGGCATAAATAAATCCTAAATGAATAACATAAATAAATATGTAAAGATACCTTTATAATGTGTCATCATTAATATACCTAGAAATTATGAGTAATTTCTCAGAACTTTTGAAAGTTATCATAATATACCTAGCTGGATTTAATTTATATAATTATCTATATCTTATATGTCACAATAGCTATCTAGTACACTTATGTGTACTAAGGGCTTATAGGTAGGCTAGGCTGTACCCAAAATAAAACTAATAAACACCATTGTTTTTCAATCAGGAATAATATTAAAATAACTTGAAAAATTAAGGTCAAATGAGTAGTTATTTATGGCCGGACTCAATACTCCATCTAGGAGACAAACCTACTGATAATAAATTATTTATACTGATCATTGAGAGACAAATTCTTGACTTCATTTCTCTGCACTTCCCTATGGTAGACTGTCAGAGAATGCCTTAAGATTTCTCTGCACTTCCCTGTGGTTGACTGTCAGAGAATGCCTTAAGGAATTGAGTCCGCCATTCACTGTTATCTTTTGTGAAGAAGAAATAAATAAATAAAATTAACATGTCACTGTTTTCAAAAATTGTTATAAATAGTTTGAAAGTCAAATATTCAAAATTTTTCTCAAATAAAATTTATCTAGTGTTGAAAAAGTCGGCCCTTACTCAAATGGCTACAACCCACTTGCATCCAATGGCCTAATTAAACAAGTGTATCATGATTCTATTTCTCTAATGGTTATCTATTTTGGGCTAGGCTGCACTTGTATGAAACATTTGTAATATCAAGTCACCTTATACTACGATTTATAAGTTATAGGTACTTATTTTCTTTTCTTCCTTATTGGTTTAATGTTCGGTACAGTTTGAGCATATTATCATAATCCTCCTTTTGGGTTTGCTGTAGTCGGGTATAAAGGGCATGGCTATTTATGGGAATCTTAAGTTTATTTATTAGATTCTGCTAGCGGCTGTTATAATCTACCCCTGTTCCAAATTTCATCCTGATCCCTTTAGCCGTTTTGATGTGAAAGAGTAATTAACACACATACAAAAAGAAACTGTCGAATTATCTGTCGTCGGCGGTATTTTCGAATCGATACGACCTTCAAACCTTCAAGAAAAGAGTGTATTCCTTTTTAAAATGCCGACAACACACCTTTTAAAAAGGCGGCGCTGATCGCTTACCATCAGGTGATCCGTCAGCTCGTTCGCCTCCTATTCCATAAAAACAAACAAACTTTCGCATTTATAATATGATGGGACTAATACCTAGGATAGGATCATACATACATAATTTCACGCCTGTCTCCCATGTGGGTAGGCAGATATTATAAAATGCCAATTGCTACAATTCTTACATACCTCTCTCCTGCATTATATGAATTTTGTGTATTATTTTGTTATTTACTTAAGTTTACAAAGGAATTTGTAAATAGCATGTATAATTATGTAATATACTTACAATTTATAATACTTACTGATAACTAAGTACAAAACAATGGATCAACTATTCACATTGGCAAAATGCATCAGTTATGTGCATAGTAAATTACTAGTTAATATTCAATCAATATGTCTACAATTTAAACAAAACCCCATTAAAAATACAAGATTTGATAACAGGAATGTAATAAATAAATATAAATAATCTTGACACAAATGTCAGTCAAGTTCGCTATATGAAACGGAAATACATTAGGCCGTAACATCATAAAATATGTCTTGTTTCGGACAAGTGTAGACCTATCCATTATTTTATTTTATCTCATAATAATATTTGCCCGACATTTGTAATTACTTGTTAACATTAATGTTTATTATCTGTGATAATTATGACTGTCTGACACATAAAACAATGCATTAGTATTTTGACAAGGCTTTCCTTTAATAGGTTTTTATTTTGTAACAACTTCCTTTGAAAAAGGAATTAATATTTTTTTTATGAACAACTGTCTTGTTACAGTGTAAAAAGTGTTGTACTGTGTTAAATATTGAGGGCAGTTGATGAGACATTGTCTTATATGCATTCTTCTCATTATTATTTAACCCATTGTAAAAGAAATTAAGAATTTCTTACTCATCCTTCCCCGAAGGATAGTGTTATATTTTGTTTATGCTATTGTATAGATGTTTTAATACATCGTATATGTTGTTGTGGCCCAGAGGTTTAAGACTCTTCTCATGCATAAGAATGCGGGTTCGAAACCTACCACCGACTTCGGTATGCATGCATGCAAGTGCGTTCACTTGCATGCATGCATACCGAAGTACCTTTTAGTTTTTACTTTTCGTTTGTTTTTACTTTTCGTTTTTGAAATCGGTTTTTTTATTTTTTTCTTCACATTTGTGGAATACAACCTAGTTACTTGGGATTGGCACAAAATTAATGTTACTTTTTTCCAATCTCCCTTATTGGATGTAATTTCAAAAAACAAAAATCTTTTTGGTCTATATGACAAAAACCTACATTGTACTAAGTTAACTCGTCGGGCACCGTCATTATAGACACAATTAAAGAACAATAGGTTGCGGTCACCGGTGACCGCTTGGTGTTTGACAGTTTAAAATGAATGAAATATCTACTAAAACAATGTATTATTTACTTGCATGTCTAATAATGTTGTAACAAAATGTCTAACATGTCACAAGGCCTACACATAATCGTTTTGCCAATTATTTTTAGTTGGCACTGACTGTTTTATTTTATGTCTTAATCAATTCATTTTTCTATCATGGTCAAAACAAAGGTTTCTTAAAAAAGAACACCACCCCTCATTAGTCGGTTTTCTCCTGTGCTGTGGGTTTGTTTTACAATGGTACTGATTCATTGATATGCACATTTAGGGTTGCCACCCGCACTTTATAATAAAGTATTGAACGTTATTTAAGGTAATTGTACTCTATAGGTACTTTATAAGAATAATAAAGTACACGAAAATACTTTATTTTTGCAAACTTCATTTCTATAAAGTAATGTATTTTTCGGTAAACTTATCGATTCGATATCGATATTTATCGATTATGTTGAATCGATTTCGCCACTTGCCAGCGCCACTTAGACAATTTCTAGTAACAATGCAATTGTTTAGTTAAGATACTAATTTAATACAAACTATATTTATTTTTTATTTAAAACAAACAAAATATATTTAACAATACATTTTTAATGCTTTTAAAAGAACTAATTGTACTTTATTTTTGTACTATGTACTTTTTTTTCTTACCTGTAATCGTCAATGTACTTTAAATACCAAAAAAAAGGTGGCAACCCTATGCACATTACAACTGGACACCAAAAAGGTTTTTTGTGTATCACACACAGATCAGGCAGCAGCCAGTTGGCCGCGGTTTTGTTTGTTATTAAAATGATTAGCTTATTACTGTTACACCTAACCTACTAAACCAATTGTGATGCAATTTTTTAAGGTTGAATACTTTAAGAATAAAAACCACGTTTCCATGTCATAAAATACTCTAAAAATGGCATATTTATTATTACAATTCAAGTTCCAATTCTAAACTCGACTCCGACATTACGAAACAACAAAACACATGAGTCAGTGATAATGAGTCAGACAGGTGTTTCGGTTCGATTCTCTTGTCGGCACCTCTCGCACTATAGACTGTCCTTGTCAATGATTCGGATATTTTATTTTTTATAGTTGTACTCGTTACGTCGATTTTTAGCCAATGTCACTATATTATTTTTGTTTTGTGATTGTATGTGTGTGTGTGCTATTATTTTGACTTTGATATGCTTGGCTTCAATATAAGCAGATCATACGTGGAGGAATAAGGGGGACCTTTGTCCAGCAGTGGATAAAGGTCCCCCTTATTTCGGCTTTCGGCTGTTGATGATTTTCCCCCCTTAAAAAAAGGGCCGACAAAAGATTTTTTGCTATATTCCTTTGGCATTTCCAAATTCTAGTATTTTCCAAGGTTTTATCCGCATCATCAATACATAGTATAAAACAAAGTCGCTTTCGCTGTATGTCCGTATGTATGCTTAGATCTTTAAAACTACGCAACGGATTTTGATGCGGTTTTTTTTAATAGATAGAGTGATTCTTAAGGAAGGTTTGTATGTATAATACATGCATATAGCACCCGTGCGAAGCCGGGGCGGGTCGCTAGTAACACAATAAAATGCAAAAAGAGAATGATTCAACTAGGTTCAGTAGTTGCAGAGATTTACCCGTCCAAACGAACACTCTATTTATGACTAT